AAATAACGTGAAAAATTTACCTATAGTTCAAAATGCCAAGTGATGTTGAACCCAGAAGGTTACCTATGAGCATTCTTAATACAGTGAACTACACTTCTATGATATTACACAAGGTTCCTAGTTAAAATATGAAATTGTAATACATTCCTGTAAATATGATTTTCCATTGTGAAACTTGTTCATTCCAATAGAGCACTATATAGTATACGAAGCTTATGAAATGTTGAAGCATATCTCCCATAAGTACATCCCTCATGTACACATAGAAGCAAATTGATCTGTACAAATTTCAAATGAGAATGTGTTATGAAGTGTAGGATTCAAATTGTTTAAAATAAGCTTTGGAAAGCACAAATTATACACTCAATACCAATGGATGGTATAAACTGCCTTAGTGAGTACTTTCATTATGATATTGTTGCAATATACTATATCTCTTGCAAGAGTTGATATTAGATTTGGTCTTTTTAAGAGTCTAGAAAGATTATAAAGTGTTGAAAGGAATATTGTCTCGAGCTGCGGATCGAACAATATGCCAACACGACTCTTATCCATCAAAAGATATATGGTATTAAAGAACCGTGTGGATTGAAGATGATGAGTTGAACACTCAAATGATTAATCAATATTTAGACACTATGAAAGATCATTCATTCTTGTGAGGGAAATGGTGAACTGATACTTGGTCCAGAAGTACCATATCTTACTGAAGCATGTGCCTTACTTTATTTAGCACAATACACTGAATCATATATTATATTTCCTGTGAAGCACAATACCAACATATGGATATTAGAATGAAATAAAGTTTATTTATTGTTATCTCTAGGAAATTATAGGCATGCACTTATTTTATTCCAAAGAACTCACTGATAGCCATGGTCTTATTGGGCAAATAAAATTTGAATCTCTCTCTAGCTTGCATACAGATCACTCGCATGAAGGATTTGTATTTACATATGGAAATAGACTACCCTACAACGATCAACAAAGCAAACATATGTTACTACATTTTGATATCTCTCATAAATGCATATCTCTAAAGTTTTCACTTTAGAAGTTCAAGAATTGCATCGATAGGCATTTGCCTAATGGCAAGCTAGTTAATCTAGGTTTATAATAATCAGGGAGAGGCATCAATTAGGGGGAGCATTTAAGAGTATGCTACATTGGCCATATGAGCAAAATATATTTTATTTCCTTTTGACCATATATTCATCTCATGAGTTATTATTGGAGAAGCTGTAAAGAAACAATTAATCGAACATGTCAAGCCCCGGTCCCAAGATGCCTCCAAGATCAACACATGACATCAAAATGTACCTCTCTAACTATCATGCCTTGCTTCCAAAACATGAACAAAAACGAACCAACGAGCCAATCGTGTAGTAACTTTTCTTTTATCACATGGATGCATCTAACTTTTGAGTAAGATTGCCCACATGCCCAAAGATGGGATCGAGCCATTGGTGGTTTAGAGGGCATTAACTCAAAAAGCATAGAGCTCCAGAATCACTCCATGGAACTCAACGAGCATGACTTAGTAGATTCCAGGCTACATAACGAAACCACATGACAACTAGCTAGAAATGTTGCTTTGTCAGCCACATACATCCCAATATCTTCCAACATAAGTTTCACAATTACAATAAATAATCAATTCAATGCCTCAAGGATGCACATATTAATATTTAACTACCTTAATCAATCAACAAGATCAAGTATCCTGTCAAGAAGTTTAATAAAGCAAATATATGTATTTCCCTAACTGGATTCCAAATAATAACATTGTAAACCTAATTTACAAACACATATGTCTACCGTGAGAAATTTATGTTCCCAAGAATCTAGGGTTCTGGACTAACTCAACGAAGACAAACAAGAGTCGAGATTCCGGACCACTCAACAGAATCTAACTAGGATATGGATGCCCATCGCGGATTTACCAAGCACACTAATCCTTACTACCCTAGGTAGGTAATGATCACCCATTGCGGATATACCAAGCGGAACTATAAGCATAGTCTAATAGTGTAGGCAGTAATCACCCATTGCGGATATACCAAGCATGATCACCCTTAAAATATGTATAGTCCTCCATCACAGATATACCAAGCACACTAATCCTTACTACCCTAGGTAGGGAATGATCACCCGTTGCGGATATACCAAGCAGAACTATAAGCATAGTCTAATAGTGTAGGCAGTAATCACCCATTGCGGATATACTAAGCATGATCACCCTTAAAATATGTATAGTCCTCCATTGCGGATATACCAAGCAGGTCCGTATCCTATTGTACTAGGTAATGACCACCCATCATGGATATACGAAGCAAAATCACTCAGAATGTTTATGGTCCCCTATCATGTATATACCAAGTAGAACCGTAGGTTACCTTAAAAAAAAAAAAGTACAACCATAGGCATAGTCTAATAGTGTAGGTAGTGATTACCCATTGCGAATATACCAAGCATGATCACCCATATAATACGTATGGTCTCCCATCGCAGATACACCAAATAGAACTGTACCCTATCAATTCCACATGACCAACATATATCTAAGCACACAGATATACAGTACTACAAAATAATTCTAATATATGGCTTCCGGCTTATCTCTTCATACTAATAGTTACCAAATATCATTATTGTCATCTAGAGCTCAATAATTACGTAAATCTCGATAAGGTGCCACTTGCACTTGATTAACCGAGATGCACATCACCCAAAATGGGTTGTTGACTAGAGTAGATCCACTAAGCTCTATCAAGCCTCTCGTAATGTTAACTTTCGCCCTTAAGAATGATTCAAAACGTGTTGACCAAAGTCAACTCTCAGTCAACAGGTCAGTAGTAAAGTTCCGGCCCAAGCATTGCCACCAAGCGCCCCTACATGTGGCGGTTTTCGATGAACAAGATCCATAATTTTTTACTAGCACCAAACGCCACCAAACTTCATAGCAATGTAGAACAAGACAACGGAAAGAAATTTCATACCTGAGTCGACTCCTAAAGGTAGGCGGAATGAGGTGAAAATCACCGAATAAGCCTCGGAAGGGCATGAACTGCACACCACCATCCGACGTTCGATGGATGACTAGAGGCCATGTCCTTGAAGTTAGGGTTGAGGCGAGTCCAACCCAGGTGACGACTAATTTCGTTCAGTGGATTCACTGCAAATCGACGAGAAACTCGCTGCTACCCAAGTACAATTGTAGACTGTATTTGTCGCGTACCGAGGCCAACGAAAGGGATATATGGGTGGATTGTGATATGTGGGTCAAGGGCTACACTTTGCTAGTGGTGGTGATAATCGATTAGCTGGAAAACGACATGAATCGATGTTGGAAAAAATCTTTGTAGAACCGGGTCGCGTTGCCTAGTCGAATCAAGCACATAGGTCAACTTTCCAAAATCGAAAAATCCCTCCAACAAACTTGGTACTTCTATTTATGGAGGTTCAAATGACCGTTTTGCCACTGTATTTGCTTGCTTATTTCTCCTTCGTTATAACTTCATTTTGTGAAAGGTTTTTTGCCTACGCATAGTGGGATCGAGCTTTATCCAAAAATACTAAGAGTGACCTCGAGAGGTCTATAAATTTTTAATGGATAATTATTCAAACTTTATAACTAAGTGGCTAATGCTCTGATAATAACAAAAATAAAATAAAATGAAGTTACAAAATATCCAAATTCAAATAGTGAAATTCGGGGACAAGATTTCAAAGAAGACTTGTGGCCATTCAAGGGGAGTGTTGTGACTATGGATGCCCACATGTCTTGCATCTATTATTTGGTTTGAGTGGATGACCCATACAAGAGAGGAGGATATACAGCAAGAGAAGAGGTTTAGAAGGGTTGTTAGGTTGAAAGACACTTTACCTATAAAATAATCATCCAAGCAAGAGAGGAGGATATACAGCAAGAGAAGAGGAAAGAAAAGACAGAGGAGAAATGCAGAAGAAAAATATTAGTGAGTTATACCAAGGCTAGAGAGGCAAAGTGCCTTTCAACCTAACAACCCTACCAAACCACTTTCTTTAAAAGAAAGTTATTTTATACTCCTAGTATTTTGGATAATGAAATAAAGTACTACTGTTGCCCTGAGGACGTAGGCACACTTGTCGAACCTTGTAAATATTGTGTCTTATTTATTTTATATTTTATTGCACACATATCGTTGGTTTCACAACATGTTCATTTAAATAACTCCAATTTTTTTCAAAACTTAAGAAGTTGGAAAAGCACTATTAATAATAGTTAAATTAATACTCACTATTGAGTTTGTTAATTTATTTAAAACTAACCTCTCACAACACGATGATGCGTGTGGCAATTTACTTTTTTACTTATAATTTTTATTTTTGTTTAGAATTTTTATTTTTGTTTAGTTTGATTTTCTTTTCAAAATAAATAAATTTATTTTGAAATCTTAATTAGGGCGATACGCATCACGCTTAGGTTTCTAAGGCCTTTATTTAGTTTGATTTTATTTTCAAATTAAATTGTTTTTCTTTCAGTCATATACCCATAATATTCTCTTTTCTGTCACCATACAAGAATTATCTTCTCTTTTTGTTAGAAGAATAAAAAGACACGAGAGATAGTAGTTATACTAATCAATAGTGCATTCCCTATATATGTCAATTTTGTGTAGAGAAAACCTTACTAAATCAAAATTTACAATTTTAGGAACGTAATTATTATCCCATCTGATGTTCGACACCGTCTCTTAAGAGAAAGTCCTACGTGGATCATAAATGTAAAATTATAGGAACAAATTTGTAGGACTTGTAAAGAGAGAAAATATGACACGTGGGCAAATGGAAACCTCAAAATAACCAGTCAAACCCACAAGCAACGGTTATTTGTAAGAAAAATCAGTTCCTACAGATCCCCACATTGAAATACGGATACCCAATATTTGGGCGCCAAACAAGGCTTCAATATAAAATTACAGTTACAAAACTTGAACACAATAATCCCCGAGAGAAAGAGACAGAGAGACAGAGAAAAGACACAAAACCTTAATCCACACACTACAAAAACCCAGGGAGGAGAGAGAGAGAGTGGCATCTTTAGAGACAGAGCGAACTGAAGAAGATCAAAGGGCGAAAAAATGGCGCATGCACATCCACCTGGGGAAAAAACCCAAGAGGTCCCAGAAATGGGGGTGAAAGGAAACCCAAGAAGTCCATCGTTCAAATTCAATGCACAGGCACCTGAATTTGTGCCGAGATCACATGCCCAGATGCCAATTTCTGGTTATTTCTATCCCTGCTTTCACTTTCTTGGTGACACTGCTTCCCCTGATTGGTTTTACGTTGAGGACCAAGAATTGCCTCCTTACTTGATCTCCAATAATCCCAATATCGATCCGCTTTCCAATCGGTCCAAGAACGCGATCCCGGATGATCTTCAACAGAAGATCATCAAGCAGGTGATGTGTCTTTGATTGTTAATTCTTTTTATTCCCTTTGTTTTGTACGTCAAGGAAATGTCGTCTGTCAGACTGTGAATGTAGACTATTGACCATGTTGATTTTTGTGTGAATGTGTACCGGGTTCAATATACCAAAAGAATGTTACCTATGTGTTAAATTTGCGAAATTATGTATGTAAATCTGCTTTTTTTTACTTTTTATAAGGAATTAGATAAAATATATGTCTGGATTTTTGGATCATGTTGGGCAAACTGGGATCTTCCTTTTAGGACCTTCACTTATTACACTCCCATCATGGCTTTTACAAGTGAGAGTACACAAATAGATTTAGATTCAACCACGTGTGACACATGAAATCTGAAAAACTTATGTTAGCTTAGTATTTGTTGGCAAATTTTTCTAATCATTTGAATTTTCAAGCTTTAGTGGTTGTCTAATATGGTACCAACACCAATTGGCATAAAGTGGGTTCAAAACCTCCAATTCCGATTGCCCACTTCTCTCCCTTGCCACTCGGTTTCTTAATTTTCGGAAATAGGATTTTCGTTGTGGATCTTATCCAGTTTAATATGAGAAGCCATTGAAAGCGTTCGTCCAATGCTATCGATGTCCCATAACGAAACCTGTATCGAAATGTCTTAAACAGTTGGAGATCCTCCAGAAATTATGAGCCATCATTTCACTCTTTCAAATTTGCAATGCACGAGATGTTAAATTCTTCTAACATATGGATTTGTTGTTATCCTTACCGATGCCCATCATCATTAAACAATTAGGACTGGACCATGACAGCGCCTTCTGAACCGATTTTTTTGCATAAAACAGGTGGAGTACCAGTTCAGTGACATGAGCCTGCTGGCAAATGAATCCTTAGCGAAACACATAAGTAAAGATCCCGAAGGCTTTGGTAGGCAATTTCAGAAACTACTTTCTGCAGATTTAAGTAATTTTTTGTTCCACATTTTAATTCATGCATAATTGTGTATTTCATAACAGTTCCAATATCTGTTGTTGCCTCCACCAAAAAAATGAAGTCACTTATTAGTAACAACCATATTCTCGCCCAAGCGCTCCGGTCTTCTTTAAAGCTGGTAAATTGTCTGATTAAATTGCTGATAGTTTTGTTGTCATTCTTCGTTCCCAGATAGTATTACTCATTTGGTCCTCAAGCTTTCATCCTTGTTCTTTAATAATTTTATTGAAGGTTGTAAACGAGGATGGCAAGAAGGTTCGACGTAAGCATCCTTTTACTGAAAAGGACAAAGAGGAATTGCAGGTAAAATGTAAAAACAGATGCTTACTAATTATAATTAAACTACATCGATTTAAGTTTTCTCATGAATCTTTTTATGGTGTGTTTGTTCTTTTTCCGTTCTTGTAGTCTCGCACGGTTGTGGCAGAGAATTTGCCTGAAGATCACTCTCATCAAAACCTAGAGAAGATATTCAGTGTGGTTGGAAGGTTGGATTTTTCGCACCAAGTTTTTCCATGTTCTTTCGTTTTTTTTTTTTTTTGTGTTATCTATTATGAGAGGATCATCACTGCATATTTACACTTTCTGTCAAGAACAGCGTGAAAACCATCCGAATATGCCATCCCCATGAATCCAATTCTTCTCGCTCGAAAGGCGATTTCATTATCAGCAACAAGGTACAAGAGTAAATTAACCATTTTGTTCTAATAGTCATATCATTTCACAAGAACTTTCTTAGAATTTTTCTTCTCATTTTACATTTTTATGCAGCTTCATGCACTTGTGGAGTATGAAACAACAGACATAACAGAGAGAGCGGTATGTTTAATGCCATTATAACTTCAGATTCCATCCTGTGTATTCTTAACATTTTTCATTCATCAGGTTGAAAAGTTGAGTGATGAAGGGAACTGGAGAAAAGGTCTCCGAGTAAGGATGCTGCTCAGACGCTCGGTATGTCCATAAAACAACAAAGGATGTGGTTTTCTGTAAAACTTATACATATTTATATAGACCTAAATGTATTTGACAAGGCCTCATTGCTTCTGGTACACCATAATTTTCAGCCAAAGTCTGTTTTGAAGAACAGAAAGTCTGATTTCGATGGCATTTTAGAGGATGAAGAGCCATTATATGATTGTGCAGAAGAAACTTCTCACCCAAGCAACCTTGAATTGGTCATTGATAGTCCTAATGTAAGTCCTTTATTGCATAACCAGTCACGTTATCATGTCATTACATTTCCTTTTACATCATGTGCCGTACTTTATAGAGGCGAGATCCACCTATACAAGTGGATCACACTTCTATTAAAGGTGTGGTACAAAATGTGGTATAATAACATCATTATCTCACATGAAAATCTGTTTGCGTAGGGTGAAGAAAATTCAGCGGGGTCCAAGAAAGGATGGGCGTGGGGGCGCGGTAAGGGCCGAGGACGCGGGCAGAGCCAGAGTAGTCGTGGCCTGATTGCCCCGTCTCCGCTATCAAGCAGCACCATCCAGTGTGAGTCATCTGCAAAACAGAATTCCAAGGGTCCAAGAATGCCAGATGGTAGTAGGGGTTTCACCATGGGAAGAGGCAAGCCAGTAAGCGCCACGAATTCGCCGTAGGAGAGTGAGTGATTTTGATGGTGGCTCAATTTTGCTGAAGGTCTACTTAGTTACTAGAAGAATACGCATATGGCTCTCTGCCGACCCTAATTAAGGAGTCTTGAGAAGAAGGGGGATTTTGGTTATGTATGTGAAATGGGTAATTTGATGATTGATTTTAATTGAGGTGTATAATATGGTAAACAAAATTTTGGGATGTCATTAGCTCTTGGCAGTGATCATTTAGTGATCACATTTGTTTTTTTTTTCTCCCCATAGAGGTACTTTGCTTTTGGGATGGAATTTAATTCTCTTTTGTACAATTCTATTTGAATAATGAAGTGGAGGGATGAACTCTCTTTCTCTCTCTCAACCATCTCTACATAATAATTTATAATTATAAGCACGAAATTTCATAGATCGGTTGTAAAATGTTTTAAGAAGGATTTTTTTCAAAACCTTGAATAGCCAAGTATTCATTCTAACCAAATGGGCGGATGAAGGATGCTTAAAGGTTTTTGTACCACAAGCCTATTTGATAATTATTTCATTATTCACTATTACTTTTGGTGTTAATGATAGCATAGAAATACATAGGGATACATAGAATATGGAGGGATGAAGAAGAGTCTAAGAAATGTGCAAGAAATGGACGCAAAATGAAAACTAAAAATGTAAAAAAATATTCTATCTTGTTTTCACTTTCAAGATTTTGTTTCATTCATTCTTCCTTATCTCTTCCTATTTTCCCCATCACCCTTCTTTAGAACCTCCTTTCACCGTAACTTTTCTCACATCAGCACACTAAAAACAAAAAAATTATAAACGAATATTGTTTAATATTATTCTTCTCTTAGATTATAAATTAAATATTATTTTTCTTGATTTCTTGGTTCGTTCGCCAGAACTCCTTTATAGCTTCTTTCAAAAAAATAAAAGCAGATCTTAATCAAGGGATTTCAAATTCTTAAAGCAGACTTTCTGTCTATTCAAGGAAAGATAAAAAATCACACTTTCTGTCTATTCAAAGAAAGATAAAAAAGTGGCCCATGCAGGTCTCGAACCTGCGACCTTCGCGTTATTAGCACGACGCTCTAACCAGCTGAGCTAATGGGCCTTGTTGTCCATCATTCCTATCTATTCTATTATCACCTTGAGACAGCTGCAACCTCGTAAACCCCTCCTCCTTGCAAACAAGTTGCATAACATTTCAATTTAAACTTGTGTTACAATATGTTTGGATGAAGGAGTTAAATTTGAAATTTAGATAAAAGATAAAATTTATAAATTGATATGTACCGATTTTCATGTTTGGATTTTTAAACATAGAAATTTAGAATTTTTGCGTAGAAAAAAAAAACTTGAAATTTGGGACCTACAATTCCCAAATTTAAATTTTCATATAAATAAGTGTCATTTTCTAAATTTCCATGATTGAGAGCTTAAATTACAAAAAAAAAAAAAAAAGAAAAAGAAAAGAACTTCAGTATTCAATTTGCTTTTAATCATGGTTCAGTTCAATTGCCCACCACTCCGACTTTTGCTTACCCATCTTTGTAGCCTTTTCATATTGTGAAATCACTGAAATGTGAATGTTATCTTTTTGCTATGTGGTGACAGTTAGGGCTCGTTTGCTAGAAGCACTTTTGTGAAACCTAACTGTTTTTTTATTTTTTATTTATTTATTTATTTATTTATTTTTAATGTTTTCTAAACCTTACTAAGGGTAGTTGACTCTTGGTGTTGTGTTGAAGATATGAGGACTTTATAGTATATGTACATGTATAGTATACGTTAAAATTTTTTGCTGTTAGATTCTTAGTTGTATCTTTGGTTGCATATCCAATCCTTCATTCATTTGATGCATTCCTTGCACCAAAGCATGATAGAATTTGGATTATGAGTTGCTTATGAAGAAGGTTTGAGGTTCCACTATAAAACTAATTAGCAATATGTAAAGTATTCGAATACTTATAAGCATGTGCAAAATCCATTCTTTTCCCGACGTAGGATACACAATCTCAACATTTTCATTATGCGACGATGAAGTATAAATCCAAAATGTCCTTTGGATAAGCCAATCTAGATCTTCAGAATATAGAACCCGGATTCTCTTTGGATCTAAAGATCCTGAGCCTAAGGATCAAATGATCCGGACCATTGAAATTTGATCCAACGGCTACAAACAGGAAACCCTTCTAAAAGTTATAATAATTGTAGCCGTTAGATCAAATTTCAACGGTCCGGATCATTTGATCCTTAGGCCAGGATCTTTAGATCCAAAGAGGATCTGAGTTCCAGAATATATATCTTCAGTTCAACAATCATTACATGCATTGAATAAATCCTGCGTAAAAGCAACAGCAGAAATCCTTTCATACATAAAGACTTTGTATGTAATTTTCAACATATCTAAGTGCTTTTCCAAAATTATTTTAGGTTATCGTGTAATTGTGTTTATCTTCTGTAGTTGTTTTCACTTGCATAAGTTAACACAAATCACCTCTCTTATTGGCTATGCCTGCCATTAGTGAAAAAGATAGATTTTGCTAGGTCTTCGATTTTTTTCTCTTACAACAAAAGATTATGCAATGATGCACATGAAGAAAGTTGAGGTTTAACTGAATGATGTGAAATACATATGCTCGTTAGGCTTCATATGCTGACGAACCTTGCCCTAATATATCATGAAGATTGCACCCGAAAACCAGCAAGCAATAGCAGGACTAACCCAACTTCTCGTAAGCTCATTCAAAGTTTCATAACTCTCAGATCGATGTGAGACATCTACACTTCCCAAGTATACATCCTTTCCAGTTATGTTTTGAAGTTAGACGATCAGAAGTGAAATTGTAGTAGAAAACAAAATTGTATAATGCAAAGTGCTTAGTTAAACACTTCTACTTAAATACTTTGGTTAGCTTTGCTCTCAACGACATTTGTAATTCCACTGATACCTTTGATTATTTGCATATTGACTTAATTCCCATGCATCATTGTATATATGACATCCTAGTCAGGTTTTGGATTCTTCTCCTACCTTAATAGCACGCGCAACTATTTGGACTAAATTATACCTTCCTCACCAATTCATATAAAAAGTTCAACTAGTCCATGCACTTCCGATATCAAGTTATAGAATTTTAAGTTTTAATAACTTGGTAATTAACAGATCTTGAAAAACAAGCAGTTACTATCTATGATCATTACACGTCTTTCGTTCTGCTTTTTTCATGCGTAAGGATTATTTGCAACTGTTCTGCTACATTAGATAACCGGAAGAAATCTTTGTGTCTGCGTATGTTGAATATTGGATTACACTAATTTAGCTTAGCTATATGATTGATTGAGAATATGTGGTTTCGAATATATAAATTTCTTCGTTATGTAAATAAGAATGTTATGGACTAACAACAGGATTCTTGTCAAATATAATACGAAATTCAGTGATAACCAAATGGATTTTATTCAAGATGCTACTTCCTCCTCAGTTGAATAAAATTCTTTAGTGGTTCGTATTTGCAGAAATGCTAAACTTGGACAAATGTGCACGAGCTGATCTCTTTAATACTCACCCCAGAGTCGAAGGTTTGTTGTATGCAAAGTTATGTTACATAAACTTCATTTTCTAGTAGTTGTATTTATTTGGAAACAATCTCAAACTACAAGCAATAGCGAAATGTTGAACGAAAGTCTTTCAATTTGCACTGTCCAAAATCATCACCAGCAAATTTTATATAAAAAGCTTCTCAATAAGAGGTTCATACGCCGGTGCATTGGTAGATTTTGGCTGTTTTTGTAGTGCTCATGTCGATCATCTGTTTTAAGTATGACATCTTCCAAAAAAGATATCTCTCATGACACTACAACATTCTTTTTGCTTCAAAAAGAGATCATGGTGGCTTACCCCCTTCAATGGAATTTCTGCTTTGTTAGCATGAAAGAAAATTGTTATAAAAAATAGGAAATGGATGATATCATGGCGGCTTATGCCCTCCGGAAAATACTCCAATATGATTACTTAGTTGCAGAGTTAGCCATTAAGTTTATACTACCATAGTGGCATTACCACTCTGAGTTTAACCAATGAATTCACTTTGAATTTCCACCGTTTTCGCCTATAAATAACAATGAAACCTTCTCTTAGATGTCATCAAATGAATCTTACAGCAAATTTTCGACACTGATCACAAGCTATGACTCACAAAATCATCTCCTGCTTCACCATTCCTTTATGCTTGTTCTTGTTTTTGTGTCCTTTTGTTCATATGTATCCCTTTTCGTATACTAGCCAGCTCGATTACAATTTCTACGACAGAGCGTGTCCTCGCTTGTCAATGATTGTCCGGTACAATATTTGGGCAGCTCTCAAGAACGACACCAGGATGGCTGCATCCCTTCTTCGGATGCACTTTCATGATTGTATTGTCAATGTAGCTTTTCTTTCCTTCTTCAGACTTTTCCACATCTTTATGCCCTTTGCAACCACATTTTGTCAAATTCATGCTAGAAAGTAAATATTATTCTTCGTACTCTCCTTTACCCTTATTCTTTAAAAGCAATTAATACAAGTTACTTGCAATGATCACGAATTAACATTAAATTTCATAACAATGAGTTTTTGTGTTTACTGGATGCTTTAGTGTTTAGACCAAATCTGTTGTTACACGGTGTTAACGTATCAAACTTTTTGTTCTTTCGTAGGGATGTGACGGATCAGTGCTTCTTGATGACACAGATGACTTCAAGGGCGAGAAGAATGCTCCAGCAAATCACAATTCTCTTCGAGGGTTCGAAGTGATCGACAGTATAAAAGCAGATGTCGAAAAATTCTGCCCATCAACTGTTTCGTGTGCCGATATTTTGACTCTTGCAGCAAGAGAAGCTGTTGTTCTGGTACTTGACACGTTGCTGTATCATATGAAATGTATAGAAATGGTAGTTTTATATTTTTAGTCTCACTTTATTTTCGTTCTTCTGGGTTAGTCAGGAGGGCCTTTTTGGCCTGTTCCATTGGGCAGAAGAGATGCAACGACAGCAAGTGTGAAGGCAGTTAATGAACAATTACCATCACCTTTTGAGCCTTTAGCGAATATCACTGCCAAGTTCACATCAAAGGGTCTTGACATTAAAGATGTTGTAGTCCTCTCAGGTTCTTATTTTTTTTTTTTTTTTACTTTCTTCCAACCAAACCATCTATTTATTTTAGTTCTAGCTACTTAGTGTTAGATAGTTTATCTAAAGAGATGATGCGAAATATACACAAATAAAACTAGTTACAAACTTAGAAACACTAGGGACCCTAAGACAGCAATAAAGGAGCACTAAACCATGTTTAATTACGGCTTATTGTTGGCTCAGTATCCTTCCAGCTATATTTTTGATTAAAAGTTTGCAGAGGCTGCCACTGTAGGATTACAATCTAACTAGTTGTATTCATCTTCACTTAAAAGGAAAAGGGAAAGGATTTTTAGGTTTGACTCCCATGAATAGCAATTTCAAACCTAAGTCTCGCTAGATTATTATGGGTTTTAGCCAAATCCTTCAATGTCGTTATCTAAAAAACGTTTGTGGGCTTTATACATGAGTACTTTCCTAATATTATCGACATGAATGCCTTTCTTGCTTTTGTTTTCTGAAGGTGGACACACCCTAGGGTTTGCTCAATGCTTCACCTTCAAGAGAAGGCTCTTCAACTTCGACGGCTTGGGCAACCCTGACCCAACACTTGATTCTTCGGCCCTATCAAGCTTGAGAAGAATATGTCCAAAGAATGATGAAGCAAACAGCAATGTTGCTCCTCTTGATTCCACAAATGTCAAATTTGACAATACCTATTACACAAACCTGGTTCAAAACACAGGTCTTCTAGAATCTGATCAGGCATTGGTGAATGATCCAAATACTGCTGCAATGGTGAACTCTTACAGTGGGAACCCATTCCTTTTCAATAACGATTTTGCAGCATCAATGGTGAAACTTGGTAATGTTGGAGTACTGACTGGGGAAAACGGGCAAATAAGGAAGAAATGTGGATCTGTGAACTAATAATAATAATGGTTCAGTTTTCTCTATGAAAGCATAGTATTCTAGTCATGGATTAGTTGGTAATGGAACCATAAACGAACGAATAATTAGTTTAGCGTCCAAGAATTTATCTCACTCTTGCAATTGAAGGGAGAACCAAATTAGCATATTCTACTATTAATGAATATAAGCACTAACTAATTAATTTTCAGCATGATACATGAAAGGTAACATTGTTTTTGGAAAATATCTAGAATATTATATTGTCATGCAAATTGTTCATCTGAATAAAAAATCTAACAAAGCTTTATTTTATCAACGGTTTAGTTTGACAGTTAATCAACAATATACAGTATTTTACAACAAGTGTGATTGTATAAACTAGAAGTAGAAATCCTATAGGATCTAGAAAATTTTTTCCTTGTATAACTTGTATTACTTTAAGGGCAAGTAAAGCGCATCATCATTAGTATAAATAAAAACACTAGGGATGAAGAATAATACACAAAATTCCTCAAGCGCTTCTCTCTCTCTCACCTCACCCTCTCTACTTTCTCTCTCTCAAATTTTAGTTTTGCAACACGTGTTGTCGACCAATTTTAGAGAGAGAAGGGAGAAGAGCTTGAGGAATTATGTGATGATACTACTTACGTTTTGTACCTTTATTTAAACTAAACATGGGTTTTATGTTTAATAAGAGATTATTTTCAAGTACATGAATAATGAAACAAACAAAAAAATACAATTTTTTTTTTTATATTTGTTATAAATATTATATTAAAGTGTGATTATGTAAATCCTAGATATATTTTTTGTTACGAGTTATTCATTCCCTACTAGGATTGTATTTACTGGTAGGACAAGTAATTAATCTCCTCTTTACTACTATATAAATAAAGGCATTGTGTAGCAGGTATAAGAACATCTCATACACATAGAGAAATCCCTACACTTTCTCCACTCTCTCCCTTGCTGCACCCTTTCTCTCCTTGTCAGTTAATAGGCCACAACATGTTATCAGCACGCTCCTCCGCTGCACTAAAGAATTTGACGAGAAATTTTCAACTACAAGCCAGTTCATCAATATCATCACACAATCAAGTTCTTCCAACACATCCGTTTTTATCTCAATATTTTTGCAACCATATATCATGAACATTCACCATAATACCTGACCTAACTTTACGTTTACGAATTTTAGATTCTACATAAATTGTATATTCATTATAGTCATAATTGTTGGATTATGTGAATTGATTTTGATTATGCATGCAATTGAATTGAAAAAAAAAATAATAATTAAGGTTTTGAAAACCCAACCCGTACAATGGCTTCGAGTCGCGTAGCTGACCTCCGATCCAAAGCTGGAGCCAGAAGCTCCAGGCATAGAACCTAGAACCCACGACATCGTCCAACCCCAAAAACCTGACGCCATCATGGGCTTTGGTGTCTCTTTGTGCCGTAAAGGATTCCAGTGCACAGGATCAGCGCCCAGTTTGGGCTTCTATCTTTTGGGCCTGTGTCTGCAGCCCGTTCCTTGTGCACATGGCCTGTTGCCCGGACCTGGTTCAACCCATGTCGTTACAACCATATTTTCGGCCTTGGGCCGAGTGGTCCTCATGGTTTTTAGTCCACTAGGACTTTGGTTCATTTTTTGGGCCACCGGTTTTAAACATAATTGGGTTTATAATTTTTGCCCACTTTAAAATTTTGGCCCGAAGTCCAATAATTAATTCAATTACAATCATAGGCCCCGAAGACCTACATGCATATATTTGTTGCATATTTTTCTTTATATATTTGTGTTTGCTTGCATGAACTCATGAACCTGAAGTTCATAAACTTTTTCGAACCTGAGGTTTTCGAAAAGTAAGCCTTGAAAACCCAAAGTTTTTCATGAAATTTAAACCAATGCATGTCTACTAAAACCCTAGTATTCGGCTCCTATGTGAATGGATAAATTTTGTCTCCATTGCATCAACCACAATCTTGTCCATTTACTTTGTGACGAGGATATATGTCGAATTTGAACAAACTTGACTTTACCGCTTTAGAGGTCTCCGGAAGAAACTACCTCAAGTGGGTCCAAGATGTGAAGCTCCATGTCACTGCTAAGAAACTTAGAGCATCCATAGAAGTAGACATGAATAACTCAGTTGGCGAAATTGATTAAGCCACTACCATGATCTTCATTTGAAAAGATATTCATGATGCACTGGAAACTAAGAATCTCGCTAAGGAAGATCCATAAGCTTTATGGTTCGCTTTGGACGATCGTTTCAATCACCAAAGAAATACCTTCTTGCCTGAAGCTAGACACGACCGGCAATATTTACACTTTCAGAATTTTAAGTTTATGAATGAATACAATTATGAAGTTTGTCAAATCCAATCACTTTTCAAGTTCTGTAACGAGGACTTGACCGAAGAGGATCTTCTGGAGAAGACCTATTCGACCTTCTTTGTGACCATATTGTCCTACAGCAACAATACAAGGCTCACTAGTTCACTAAGTTTTCAGATTTGATCTCTATTTTACTTCTTGCTGAAAAGCAGAATCAATTGTTGATGAAGAATCATCAAGCTCGACCTACTGGTGCGACCACTATGGCTGAATCACACAGTAGTGAGAATCGACGCCCAAACTACCGTTCCAAGTTTGGTAGGCGTGACTAGAAGCTATCTAACCAAGGTCAAAAGAGCCAAGGCCCATCTAAAGGATGAAACTGAGCCTCGAAGCATTCTAACCTCGCTTCTAAAGCCTCAAACTTCAAGAATAAGGGCAAAGCATCTGACACCATGGATGAAGACATGTGCTACCGCTGTGGTTTGAAGTAAGGTTCCAAAAAACGCTAGGCGCTAATTAGATGGCGAGTTGGGGCCTAGCACCTAGGCGGCTAGGCAAGGCCTAGGCGGTTTTATGAAAATTTATTTTATATATTATAAAAAATATGTATTAAGTTATAAAAATAAAGTAATAATTTTAAAAAATAAAAGTAAAAATCCCACATAGTAGGTTAGGTGGTTCATAATAAAAATAAAATTTTGAAGAGGTGCATGCATCCTTCCCCATTTCATAAAGGCACATGCTTAAGGTGTGACCCCTCATCTCCACCCTAACTTTCACATCACCCAAGAGACTCCAAACGAAGGAGACCAATTTGACGCCTTGAAAGCCGAAAACTTTTATTTTTTTATTCTTTCCTTTTCCTCATCATCTTCATGTTCCTTCCATTTCCTCATCTTTTTTTTTTTTTTTTTTTTTTTTTTCAATTTTCCTTCTGTAAATTCTCCTTTTTTTTTGTTTCCTATTTTTCTTTTTTGCGCTGTAAGTTCCTCTTTTTCGATGGATTTCAGAGAGAAGGAGCACAATGACTAAGAAGGTCATGGGGCACAGAGAGGAGTTGAAGTGGCAAGAAAATTTTGGGTTCTTTTTGGACTTTCTTCCCAAGAAACCATTTCAATTCGCCTATACCGCCCAGGCCACCTAGGCAGGCGCTAACAACTCCTCGATTTACCTTCACGTTTCAGACCCAATCGCATCGGCACAACGACACCTCACGCCTAAGCACCACCTAGGCCAATTTTCAAAACACTAGTTGGAAGAACATTGGTCCCATGTTTGTCGAGATCCTCCCAAGGTCATAGCTGAGTATCAATCTTGTCGTAAAAAGTTGTAATCAAACTTTGCTCAAGTGCATGAACAGAGAATAAAAAGATGGAGGTTTTTGACTTTCAAGAGGAATTAGTTGTCAGGCAAATAGTACAACCATGCACACCGTTTTGCATGAACACACCTATTTCACTAACTTCTAACCTAAAAATGCACCTCTGACAACCTTCTCAAGTCTACCCAACCTGATCGAAGGATACAGACAGACCCATATTGTGTTGTCTAACAACCCCAAATTGGCCGTTAAAGAGGCACTTTGTTCTCCATGTTCCGGATGAACATTGTTGTGCTTTAAAGACATTCGAGAAACTATCACGCTAAAACCTCTGTAGAAAATGGAGTTGAATTTCTGTGCATCACTTCCTATGAATATAGCCAAAAGCGTATTCTAGAGAAGATGAAGCGTATCTCAAGTAGTCTATATACTATAACCATATTCCCCATTTGGCTAGCTTTACCTCAAGGACTGCACACTAAGTTTTTCTTTGGCATGATTGGTTGGGACACCCTGGACGAGTTGTGATGTGTCGTATCCTCAAATTTTCACACGAGAATCCCTTAACTTGAAGCTTAGGCACATTCCAAAAGGATATCACATGTCAAACTTGTTCTATGAGAAAGCTCTTTATTCGACCTTCATATGATAAGATCCGTTCGGATCTTCCCACTTTTCTACAAAGGATTCAGAGGGATATTTGTGGACCAATTCAACCACCCTACGGACTATTTAGATACTTTATGGTATTGGTTAACGCTTCCACACGTGTGCTTGTTGTCCACAAGAAACACTGCCTTCTCTAAACTATTGGCTTAAGTTATCAAGCTCAAGGCTTACCATCCTGATTAGTCGATCAATTATATTGATTGGATAATGCTGGAGAATTCATATCGAAAACTTTCGATGACTATTGTGTGTCAGTTGAGATTGAAGTTGAACATCTAGTACCCCATGTTCATACCCAAAACGGCCTGGCAAAACCTTTCATTAAGCGCCTTTAAATGATTGCTCAATCGTTAGTCATACATACCAAGCTCTTGATCGCTGCTTGGGACCATGCAATATTGGACGCAACCATGTTGGTCTGCCTAAGGCTCGTTGTGACCCAATCATATAGTGCCCTTCAGTTGGTTATTAGATATGAACTTGACTATTACATCTGTGCATTTTTGGCTGTGTGGTCTATGTGCCGATTATGCTGCCCTTACGTACTAAAGTGGGTCTTTAGAGAAGGTGGGAATTTATGTTGGTTATGATTCTCCTTCAATCATTCATTACTTAGAACCTTTGACATTTGATCTCTTTACTGGTCTTTTTGCGGATTGTCACTTTTATGAGACAATCTTCCTG